TTAATTAAATTTAAGAAAAGCATAAATGTCAAACAGTAGAAATGAGACATTTCTTTGAATGAATATAAATCCAAAAGGAATGTCAAGAGTGTTATAAAGTAAGCAAAACCAAAAAAATAATGGACAGATAGTCAAAGACAATAGTGCTTTATGTAAACAGAGGCCAAGAGAAGATAACTGATGGTACCAGTCCATTATACAATGGAAGTTGTGGAATTGACAACAAACAAAACAGGTGACAGAAGTGTCCACAGATATTTTTGTTGTATATTGGAAAATATGTATGAGATGAGTTGCATGATAGAGATAACTAATAGTAACTAATGCATTCCCACACTTTCAGTGTCCTACACCAGCTCTAGAAGTTACACATATTAAAAACCTTGTATGTTTAGATAACTTATATCCAAGATCTTTAAAAGTAATCTCTGGGATGGCAATATCAATATCCTGTCACTGAGTCCCAGGAGACCAGCAGGAAGACAGAGACTGCTCTCATGCAGTGTTAGACACCCCCTGAAGAGTTTTCACCTCTGAGCTAGTCATGCTAGATTCCCTCTACAGTCAATAGAGGCATTTTCAGAATGAAATTCATCTGACCAAAAGTTGACATCTATATTTGGTTAAAATAATCACATCCTAATGTGGTACCCACCTATTTTAAAAAATCAACAGTGTGCCCAAGATTTCTTAGGTCTGCCAACAAGGCATCAGTCCTGGCTGTCAGTATGATGCTATGGAGTAAATCGTGTCCTTGGAAGTCTAAGCAGGGTGAACCTGTGTAGGAATGAAGAGGGTATTTTACCTGAACATTTGACACGAGTGTTCGGAAAAGGCGAGCCATGTTCTAAATCTACAGTTCAGGCAAATGGTGAAGCATTGAAAATGTTCAGAGAGGAGTTATGAACCTTCTCAGATACCCTGCAAGGTGATGGAAGACACTGAGAGATGCTGGTAAACTTTATTTATTTTTGTAATGTAAAAATAGGCTCGTAGCTTTAATAAATATGCAGAAAACCCACATAAAAACTTAAGGGGGAGTAATAGTAATAACAGGATAATAATAACTTATAAATAGAATTTTATATTCATGTAATTCCTGTTTTGATTTGCCTTCTACAAGTGTTTGCCTATTCTAGTTGACTAAAGGGATTGAGGATGGTTAGGCTACTAATTCAGACATATCCACATTAAGACTGTAAGGGATGGCTTGGGCTGAAAGTGCTTTTCAAAGAGCAGGGTCAAATCTTGCTCCTTTAAAAGAAAAAGCATAATTAAAGAATTGGAAAAGACACCTTACAATAGAAAGCTCAGGAAGTTCAATCTATTTTGCTTACTACAAAAAGGTCAAAGGGTGACTTAATCACAGCCTGACATTACCTACAGGGATAATCTCGGTAATGACTTCTCAACCTGGCCAGCAAAGATAGAACAAAAGTCAGTGGCTGGAAACTGAAGATAATTCAGACTAGAAAACAAATGTAATTATTGGCGGCTACAATAAATAATAATTATCAGGGTGGCTGCTGATCCTTTAATGAAAGCAACCTCAAAATCAAAATCAGATTTATTAAAAAAAATATGTTGTACCTCAGGCAATAATCGAGGAAGGAACATGGTTTGTGCTGTGCCAGTTTCAGGCCAGTGTCTCACACTGCCCAGTAATCTCAGGAACTGTAAACCCCCCAGCCCAGAGTTTTCTTACTTTGGTCTGTTTAAAGAAACTATTATGTACATCCTTATCATAGTGACGTTTAATCACTGTTAATATATGCGTAAGGTTCAAAGCAGGGTAATTACCATTTTTTCTGACTCCGACCTCTCATATGATTTGTCACCACCTCTCCCAGCACTCTTGTTTTGAAAACTAATTCCCATTATCTAAAAGACTTTCCAAAGCAAACACAGCAATGTAGCACTTTCTAATATTTATTTTGTGTTCTCAAAGAAAAGGGAATAGCGGTAGGGGTTTTTATTGGGGGGGG